TGTATTTGCTATTCCAAGGTGTCATTTGTCTCACCATAACAACCAAGCTCTGAAACATGAACTGGATTCTTTTCTGACTTGTGCTTGTCGTAAAAAAAAAAAAAAAAAAAAGGTTAATCCGTGTCTTCAGAGCAAGCCTGTGTAGGGACTGGCTTCAAATAATGGTGTCACTTACACCTGTGCGATCGATCTTATCAGAAGTGCTTTCAGGCAACTCTGGGCATCGTTTGAGGTCTAGGAGGTGTGACTGGAAGCAGCATTTGGACCGTGAAACACTATATGTGTAACGAAGAATGTAGGTTCATCATCAAATCCTAAACCGAGATCACAGGGACTGACAGTAAAGGGAGGAAAAAGAAAACTTGGATTTGAAACTGGGAAGAAAACCTCTCTGATATCACTAAGGCACAGGCTAAGGAACGGTGGTGTTTTGAGAGTAGGACTGTAATTTAAGTACTTAAGAGGTAGATTTGACTCTTTCAGCAAGGTTATAAAGTAATTTAGTAGAAGCGCGATGCTACCTCTATATTGTAAAGCAGTTCTTGGAAGCCACTGGACAGCCAAGCCTTCGAGGGTTTGTTCCATGGCACAGCAACCAAATGTACAAAGAAAGAAAGTAACGATTGTGGAGAAGAATATAACTATACGCTCTTAAACTCTTTGAAATCAGTTCCAATCACCAGTTCTGTTGTTCTGTTTTAGCCAAAACTTTAGCTGTTAAGAACGACAACAGTGTTTCACGGTCCAGTGCACCTTGATCAAAATCACAGAATCGATTTGGTTGGAAGAGACCTCTGGGATCATCGAGTCCAACCTTTGCCCTAACACCCCCATGTCAACTAGACCATGGCACTGAGTGCCACCTCCAGTCTTTTCTTAAACTCCTCCAGGGATGGGGACTCCACCACCTCCCTGGGCAGCCCATTCCAATGCCTACGACCCTTTTGGTGAAAAAATTTTTCCTAATATCCAATCTAAACCTCCCCTGGTGCAACTTGAGGCCGTTTCTTCTTGTCCTATCACTTGTTTCTTGGGAGAATAGGCCGACCCCCTCCTGGCTACACCCTCCTTTCAGGTGGTTGTAGAGAGCGATCAGGTCTCCCCTCAGCCTCCTCTTCTCCAGACCAAACCCCCCCAGCTCCCTCAGCCGCTCCCCACCAGACTTGTGCTCCAGACCCTTCCCCACCTTCGTTGCCCTTCTCTGGACTCGCTCCAGCCCCTCAAGGTCTGTCTTGTGGTGAGGGGCCCAGAACTGGACACAGCACTCGAGGTGCGGCCTCACCAGTGCCCAGTACAGGGGGACGATCCCTGCCCTGGTCCTGCTGGCCACGCTATTCCTGATACAGGCCAGGATGCTGTTGGCCTTCTTGGCTACCTGGGCACACTGCTGGCTCACATTCAGCCGGCTGTAGACCAACACTCCCGGGTCTTTTTCCACTTGAATGAAACTCTGGTGGTTGGTACGTGTCCTCTGTTGCAGTGGGTTACATCCCTATCAGTCCTTTAAGGCTCTTGGCATCCGGGCTGAGTTCTTCTGTCCAGCGACTCAACAAACAGCAGCAGTAACAAACAGTAATGGCAAACAAAGAGTTTCTATACTCCTGATACACAAGTGAAATATAAACGGGTGAGCCGAGCGAGACTGATTCTGTATGCCTTCTCAGCTGGAAGCACAGATTAGGTTGGGCAGCTGTTGCAGCATCGGATGCAGAGGCACGTGTTACTTGCAGAAATACAACACACAAGCTTGGAACAAAACCATCGCTGCCGCAGGTTATGGTAGCTGTGACGTATTGCGTAGCTGTGACATATTGCAACCCTCGGGACACGGAGTGTGTGTTTCCCTCTTCTCACTTGTAAAAGTTCCTGTTGTATTCTCTGCTGATGACTTCTGGTTCTTACAGCTTCCTCGTGCCTTGCGGAAATAGCTGTGAAATGGGAACAGCGTGGTTGGAGGCTGCTGTGGGTACCAGCTGCGATGCTGTGGGTTCCCCGGAGGAAGGGTGGATGGGAGGGAAGGGGCAGCTTGTCCCCAGCAGCCCTGCTCCCCTCCAAAAATGCGTCCCTGGGCCCCTTTCTCCCACCTGCGGTAACGCTGGAGCTACACAGGGCTGGGAAGTGGGGCAAGGACGTCCTACAGCGGTTGTGTCTCGTGGGAAGTCACTGGGCCGAGTCATCAAAGGAAAATAACATTTATTAAGAAGAAAAGCCTTCTTGCTTTTAAATCTGCTTTAATTCTGTTCACGTCGAAACACAGTGAGTGTCCCCCTGCTCCTGTCCCCAGCAGTCAGCTTGAGACAGGACAGTAAGTTACATTAAGGCTGTTTAGAACCCAACATACGCCCCTTCTCCTGTTCAAAATTCAGTGTATTCCCCAAGAACAATACAACATGCCTGCCACGACAGGGGCAAAACAGAAAGGTTTCTAACAGAAAAGGGTAACAGGAAAAATTCCAAAAAAGGGACAACTGGAAGGAGTGGAGGAGTGGGGAGGACATGGAGTTTGAAAAAAATAGTAGGGAAGGTCTGCTATATCCTTCTGAATGAGACTTCAACCAAAGAAATTTGGGAACAGCCCAAATTCTAACCCTCTGTTTTATGAACACAGATTTTACTGCTCTGTTCTGCAGCATTCACGACCTCCAGATACGCTCCTATAGTCGTCAGCTTAACAGGTCCACTCTCAGGCCCTTCATCCACCCATCCTTCTGCCTACTCCTCTCCCTCAACCAACCTTCCCTTTGAACCTTCTCTGCCACCTTAACCTGGCAAAACCAGGTTGTAACAAGTGCTCTTCTCCCAGGAGAAGGCTGAAGTTCTTGGAGAATTCATAGCAGAGATGTCTCTCTGCTACTTTTATATACTATACGCCACAGAAGTCCATGCAAGAATTAGAGCCCTAATAGCACTTAGAAGATAGGCATAAAAACCCCGTTTCTCTCTCCAGTATAGCCTCATCTGCTTACTGCAGCTTTTCATTTCCATCACAACTCACCTGCCTGGAAAACATTCTCTGCAAAGATCAGAAGTGAAGACTTTGGCAGACAAGCATAAAATCCCAGTGCTGCTCAAAAAGGAGTGTAAAATACCAGTTGCCACCATGCCTTACTTTACTGCATATTTAAAACTACCTAAAGCTCCTTTGCTCTTCCCCCCCAGCCCCAAACCAACCCTGCGTAACTGCTGTTGAGCAGCGCCTCAAGCCTGATACCTGTCCCACGTATCACCCTGTTGTGCTTTCCAACAGAGAGCTCGCAGGGCGCGATAGCACCTGAGCAATCCAGGGACCTCTGGTACTGATAGAGTCCCTTCTGCGAGGGGCAGGGAAAGAGGAGCCTCGTGTTGTCCGGCTGTCCGCTCTGCAGGGACATCCAGAAGCCCTCTGGCATCCCAGACTCTTTGCACTCTCACTTGTTAACAACTCCCGTAATGCGTATTAGCACCTGTTTATCTAGTTATTCCCCAGCCTATCTGTTTCACACTGGCAGGTGATAACCCAAATTCCTCATTCTCATTCATCTCTGGTCCAAGTTTGCTTCCCTGTCAATTGCAATAACAAATTTCTCCTGATAGTCCTACGGCTGACTACGGGGAAGATCTCCATCGCTGATTCACTACAGAGCGATGCCTTTGAAACCCTCTGGCCGAGCTGATCCAGAGTTCAAGCAGGGTGAGAAGATGTCTTTGGGACATTGGGTTTGTCTGTTGAGGTGAAGAACCGAACCCATCTCGAGGTGGAGAACACTCCAGTTCTGCTTGCCCGTGTTCTCAGCATCCGTGAAACGTCCCTCTGCGCGTCTCTGCTGCATCTTACTCATCCAGAGAAGCAAAACAAAAAGAAGAGAAAACAGCAGGAAAACTCTGCAGGAACTGCCCAGAGGTAAACTCCAGAGAACCAGGCACTGCCAGTCTTTGAAATCCCATGGCAGGATCTGTATTGGCAAAGCTGACATCGGAAGGAAGGTTCTGGAGGGCAAAGAGGTGGGAAATGGGGACCAAGCTTGCCGAGATATTTGTCAACAGGTACAGAAAGCTACTTACTGGCGTATTCAAAAGCAGTTAGCTGTATAGGTCCCATAAGGGTGCCCTGATGCACAGGCGGGAGAGCAGGTACCAAACACTAAGGCAGTTAGCGTGAGTGCTGTGAATATGTGGAAGCAGGGTCAAAAGAGCAAAAGCCCCTCTGGAAAAACACCAGGAACAGCAAGGCAAAATTACGTTTATTTGATTTCTGCCTGAACAGCTCTGTAAATGTAGCAATAAGTTTACTATGGCAGATCCAGAAATAAAACACACACCTGTAGTAACTGCATGGGGTGTGATGGGAAGATGACCAAATATTTATGTATCCTTCTAGTTACTATATCCAATGGACGATACAGAGCAATCATTTGTCTTTTTGCTGCTATTAAGGTTGCTGTCCTGCACGGGCAGAGTTGAGCAACCAAACCAGTCCCCTTCCCCCAGTCATAGTTAAGTGGCAGACTTCTACAAACACACTTTTATATGTAGTTACGCCTGCCATAGCTTCATCAAATGCCAGCGCTCGCCATTTCACCTGCTTCCTCCAACAATGATTTTGAGCTGTTTAATGCATCTGATGATGATCATTCCTGCCTGGAGCCATGGCAAAATGCATTCACCAGTCGCTGCTTTACTTACTCCCGGGGCATTTTGCTAGAGGCATTCAATGGGCAGAACATCTTTCCTTTCTCTGCAAATTAGAAATGATGTGAAATACATATGAGTTAATATCTTTTTTAGCTTTAAATCCATTTGCCTTGATTTTCTAGAGGTTTACTTCAGGGTTGGAGAAGAATGCTTCCAGGTGAGCCTGATCGGGTTCAGCTCGTTGTGACAGGTGCAATTCATTTGGGGGCGGGAGGAAGAACGGTGAAGAGAGGATAAAAGGCTTTGGAAGCCACTGCAGAGTCCTTTCTGTCAGGGAAACTCTCCTGTCTTCTGTCTTAGTAACTGCCTGTCGTTTTCTCCATCTTATTATGCCATCACCCATTCCTCTGAATTGTTTTCTTCCTTTCGAGTTTTCCCCATCTGCTGATTTGCGACCTTGCAGCAGCCCCTTAGTTATCCCTGGCAAAGACAGCAAAAACTTTTTGGGAGGAACTCCTTCAGTCCGGACTCGCCGCTTGCCTCCGCGCCTGGCCTGGTGCTCCATCGACTGGGATCAGCTCTGCCTCCTGCAACCCCTTGGCTCCGGGGGCTTCGGTTCTGTCTACAAAGCCACCTACCATGGTGCAACCGTGGCTGTGAAGCAGGTGAAGAAGAGCAGCAAAAACCGGCTGGCATCACGACAGAGCTTCTGGGCTGAGCTGAACGTAGCCCGGCTACAGCACAATAACGTGGTACGTGTGGTGGCTGCCAGCACGTGTGCCCCGGCCAGCCAGAACAGCCTGGGCACCATCATTATGGAGTATGTGGGCAACATCACCCTGCACCATGTCATTTATGGCACCAGGGATGCGTGGAGACAGGGTGAGGATGATGAAGGAGGATGTGGAAGGAAGGCCCTGAGCATGGAAGAGACTGTGTGCTATTCTTGTGACATTATGACCGGCTTAGCCTTTCTTCACTCCCAGGGCATTGTGCACTTGGACCTGAAGCCTGCAAACATCTTCATCACTGAGCAGGGAGTGTGCAAGATTGGAGACTTTGGGTGCTCCCAGAAACTGGAGGAGGGCTTTTCCCAGAGCCCCCACGTTTGCCAGCAAGGGGGCACGTACACACACCGTGCCCCTGAGCTCCTCAAGGGAGAGAGGGTCACAGCCAAAGCGGACATCTACTCGTTTGCCATCACCCTCTGGCAAATTGTCATGCGAGAGCAGCCCTACCTGGGCGAGCGGCAGTATGTGCTCTATGCTGATATAACTTACGCCCTTCACTGGCGGCTGCTGTTTTCCACGAGTCACCGGTGGGCCGGAGACTCCAGAGCATCATTAGCTGCTGCTGGAAGGCCGATGTAGAGGAGCGTCTGAGCGCAGCCCAGCTGCTTCCCAGCCTCAGGGCCCTCAAGGGGAGCCTCTAGAAAACGAGTCACCGGTGGGCCGGAGACTCCAGAGCATCATTAGCTGCTGCTGGAAGGCCGATGTAGAGGAGCGTCTGAGCGCAGCCCAGCTGCTTCCCAGCCTCAGGGCCCTCAAGGGGAGCCTCTAGAAAAACTCGGGACTCTTACCAGTTCCTTTATCTTTGACTTTTCTTTCCTTCCACCTTTCCTCCAAGCATAATGAATTTAGCCCCTGTGTGATCAAAAGGCTTTGTTGCTGTTTTTCTTATTTAAAAAAAAACAAACTGTTTTGATATAAGAAGATTATAAATAAAGAGATTTAACAAAACTGTGGGTTTTTACCACGGGAGGGGAGAGCGGCAAGGATCAAGATGTTGGCAAATACGAGTTTTTCTGGTTGATCTGTGGTGTGCTGCCTTGCTCGGGGAGAAACTGAGGAATGTGATGTGCAGAAAAATGGTTGTTTTCAAATACGTGAAGTACAAAAAAGGGCTGCTTTTGGAAGGTCCTCTGTACATAATACCTTTTGGTATTTCCAAAATGTCAGATATGAGTAGTTCTTTACACTAGCTAGGTTTGTGCATTTGAGCTTTTCCTCTTCATTTACCAAGGAATGAGTATGCATCACAAATCAACAAATGCAGAAAAATAAGTACAGAGTGTCAGTGGGGTTTTTTCTTGCTGTTAGATGTACTTAATTTCAGTAAGTATGCTGTTTCTGAAAAGGAAAATATGAACTACCCATACGCTGCTTGAAATAAGGAACCTTTCTGTCAGTCTAAGACTATTAAGAGTAAGAAGATACATTAACAACCTGTGCTTCTGTAAGACCTCCATGCTACCAGGTATGTTAGTTGGTATATTGTAAACTTTAGTATCTGAAGTATTTATAAAAGCATCTTGTGTGGAATAGAAACCTCCCAGGTTTTGGAGGTACAGGGGGACTTTTTAAAAAAAGAATTGGGACAACTTGAAGGGAGATGTATAGCTACAAAACCCTCATAAATCGGAGTAACGGGGGGCTACTTGCCCTTTGTAATGCATGGGTCAGTATTAGACAAGATACTGGAAGTACTGAAAAGGAAGATTGCTTAAAGCAGTAATAGTGATACTCTGCTGGTGCTCAAAGCGTACACTATTGAACTGTCCTCTGTGCTGCTTATGTCTTACCTACTCTCTTTCTTAATCTGGTTGTAACGTGTCTGGGAAAGGAAGTGCTGTAGGCAATGCCGAAGTCAAAGAGCTCTGATCCCTGATTTATAGGAACTGATAATTGTAGATCTGTCAAGATCTCAACCCTTATCTGGAGCCACAAAGATCCAACTGCTGTAGCTGATATTGCCATTCCGCTCAAAGACTCCGCTTCTTTTTAAGACAGGAGAAAAAGTGATGTTTCAGTCAGATTGTTTTCCTTCTTTCCCCTTCCATTCGGGGGGAAAAAAATCCCAGAGGAATTGAGCCAGTTTCCTGATTTCTGACACGCATCTGTTCTTAGCCCCGTGAAATCCTGGAAATGAGCAACTATGTGAATTTGAGATGATTCTGTAGGTCTTTATGGTATTTGGGTTGGTCATTGAAATGAATGGTTTATAAAGCATATCTAAGCTTAACTATTTCTTGCTCTTCTGTCCCCTTTAAATTGAACTGTAAAATGCCAGCTGGAATCAAAAATTCTAAGGTAAATTCTGGAACAGATTTCCTGTGTTTTTTCTGTCAAAATAATTATGCTATAGAACCAGACCTTATGCTTTTTTGTGTTGCATAACTTATTTTAAGAAACCAGAAATATCTTATAAAAGTTATCATAATAAGCCAGTTACCATTTAAAATTATTAGCTGAGGGCATGTAAGATAAAATGTTGGATAAAGCCATTGGCAGGCCTCACTTTAACATGAAGCCTTACATAAAAATGTTTCTCTGGTCTTCAAAAGAATATAATAAAAAATAGAATTTTTTTAGTAGTTCTTAGATGCTTGTGTGTTGTATTTATTTTGCTAATCTCAGTAACTTGTTGCTTAAACTGCTAGGAACTTGCTATTTTGTGCTTAATGGTACTTCAGCATCAATAAGTGCTATTTGAGTCTCTGAAAAATCAAGCACCCTTCAAATTCTCCGTTATACTTGACAGAAGAATACTGGATGGCCAAGACCCACTCTTGAAGTGTCATCAGCTCTGCAGATGTCTCTGCCAATTTTACTAGATTCTCTTTTGAGAGGAGGTGAGAAATCTACATAGCACTTGAGATGTAGGCTCATCACAATCATAATGATGTTCTCTATTTTTTTTAGCAACTTCTAAGATTTGATTTGCTTCTTTTTGATTGCTAATGAGCTTTGAGTTAATACTAATCAAGCAACATCTTAGGCCTGATAGCTCAGAATCCCTGATTCTATGTAATGAGGATTATTTTGCCTGTTTGCCTCACTTTATGTCCATCTATCTCGAATTTCCTTCTGCCACTTTGCAGCTGGCCCTTGTGCTCAATGTCCTAAATAACTCCACCATCAGCAAATTTGTTTATCTTGCGGCTCACCCTCTTGCATGTCATTTATGAATGTGCTGAGTAGCACAGGACCCTGTGAAACACCAGTGGGCACTTTCTCTAGTTGAGAGAACTGACACTTTACTTCTACTCTCTGCTCCTATCTTTTGACTTATGCATCGCAGGATTTTTCTCTCCTAAACATGGCTGCTTGGTACCTTTAAAAAGTTTGCAGTGAAGGATTTTTCAAATACCTTTGGAAACCCTAAGGGAACATATCAACCTGCTCCTTATCTGCGTGCTGTTGGCGCTCCTAAAGAATTCCGATACAATTCAACACAAGTGTGAAGCATGACTCCTTCCAACCAAAGCAATATTGGCTCCTTCTAAACAGATTGTATCTATGTGTCTGTGAATTCCTTTAACATAGTATCTGCTAATGTATCTTGTACAGATGTCAATCATGTAATTAGGAAAGTTATTAAAGACTTCCATGGGATGTGGCCCTGGAGAGAAGAGAGGCTGAGGACACCTGGTTGATTTTTCAATGACTGCCTTCTCCAAGCTCAAGATTGGTCCCTCCCAATGAGCAGGAAACCAAGCAAAGGTGGCAGGATGCCTCCAAGGATAAACAAGGAGCTCCTGATTAAACTCAAACATAAAAAAATAAACATGCAAGAGTTGAGAGACCAATGGGAAGTCTGGAGCAAGGAAGAATTACTATTGGTAGAGAAGGATCAGTTTAGGGAACATTCAAACAAGCAAGACACATAAGTTCAAGCAACCTGATGGGATGCACTCACAAATGCTGACAGAGATTGCTGATGTCATTGTGAGGCCGCTCTTGATTATCTCTGGAAGGTCATGGTGGTCAGGAGAGATTCCTGAGGACTGGAAGAAAGCAAACCTAACTCCTATCTGTAAGATGGCCTAAAAGGAGGCTTTGGAAAACTACAAACCAGTCAACCTCACCTAAATCCCTGAGAAAGTGGTGGAAGAAATAATTCTGGAAACCATTGCCAAACATATGAAGGACAAAAAGGTGATCAGGAGTAGTCAGCAGGGGTTTATGAAGAGGCAATCATGTTTGACCAACCTGGTAGCCTTCTGTGATGAGACAACTGGCTGCTGGATTGAGGGGACAGCAGTGGCTGTTGGCTATCTTGACCTTAGTGAGGCTTTTGGCACTGTTTCCCCTTACATCCTTGTAGAAAAACTGATGAAGTACAGGCTAGATAGTGAAAACTGGAAAGAGAAGACTCAGGGGGACCTTATCAGTTTGTATAAATACTGATGGGAGGCAGTAAAGATGGAGCCAGGCTCTTCTTAGTGGTGCCCAGTGACAGGACAAGATGGCATGGATGCAAACTGAAGGACAGAAAACCCCATTTAAATGCAAGAGAAAAGATTTTTTTTTTTTTACTGTGAGGATGGTTAAATGCTGGCACAGGCTGCCCAGAGAGGTTGGGGAGTCTTTGTCCTTGGAGACATTCAGAACCCAACTGGACACAGTACTAGGCAAGCTGCTCTTGTTGGCCTTGCTCTGAACCAAAAAAGTTCTGCAATTCTAACTTTTATAGATGCTTGAATTTCAGACAGCTCCTGAGTACTCTTACGAAAATGTTTCTAGCATGATCCTATTTTGTGTTTCCTCCAGGGACAACACACACGCAAGGAACACGCTTTGATTCTTTGCAATGGCTTTGTTGTCTTGGGGGGATCAGGTTTCAATGAATAGAGTTTGGTTTGGTTTTTCTTTTAAAAAACCCAACATTAGTAGATCTACCAGAGTGGCTTGACAGATTTCTTGTTCTTGATATTCTGAAAATTATAAATTATGGGGTTTATGTTTGTTCCTTGAAGTTTTTTTCCATCTCTTTTTATATTTAATCCACCAGAGTTTTATCCGTTCTGTTTTCTTCATCTGGACACGGCTCGTAGTTTTTAAAAGATGCCTTCTTGCTTCTAAAGCTGGCATAAAAGCTAATGAGTGTAGCTGCACATTGCTCTTTAACTTTGTCACACTTGCATACCCCCATATAAAATGTTAGCAGAAGGCACGTGATGCTAGCAGAGCAGTTGCAGACAATTGTGTTACCACTCTTACGGGATTCCGTTTATCCAAATTGTTCCCTAAGTCTTTCTATAAGCTGGTTTTGTTCTTTCTCTCTCCTTCCCTATACATATGTACGCAGCCCAGCTCCAGATGGTTACCAAGACATGGTTATAAGTCAGGATAAACCTTAAGGGCTATTTGTACCTACTTAATTTATTCTCTTCCTTACTGGAACTGATCGTCAGCGATTTGATCAGCCTAAACAGAAGATTTACTGAAGGACTGGAGAAAGTGCTACAGCCAGGTAATTGTAGTTTATCAACATCTTGCTGTGCTTTCTGAGCGTGAAACACTTGGGAAGCCAGTGCTGAGGATCCTTTGTATGGCTGTCCCAATCATCCAGCCAACAAAATATAAAAAGGGACATCACTTTTTCTTTCTGTGGACTAAATGCCTTGGCAGGGTAGATATAAAAGCATAA